TGTTTCATGAATCTGGAGCAAATGTCTTACAACACTCTGTTCAGTTATTGTTGCATAACAAAGAACTCTTAGCACATCACAGCACAAAAAGTCAATTTTCAGCTCTTTTACTCTTCAGGAAATGGGTCTGAATATTCTCTTTACAAGCCTTTTCAACGGTGTAAAGCTCTATCGGAAAGGTCAGGGTCTACGGGTTTACTACCCTTTTATGCCTAAGCTTAAAATTGCAGTTGCACTATTACTACGTCTTTCCGATCAAGTATAGGCGTCTAAAAACAACCTCTTTACAATTCCTTTCCGATCAAATATAGGCGATTTTTGACACGTCTTTATAACCCTTTTCCGATGTAGTAAATGCGATATGAGGTACGTCATTATAACCCTTTTCCGATCAAATGAAGGCGATTTTAGGTAAGTCTTTGCTACCCTTTTCTAATCAAATAAGAACGATTATAGTTATTTCAATTACTTCTAGCACTGATAATGTTTCAAATTCAAGTAGCATTTCATTTAGTGAGAGGAAGGCTTGTGAATTTTCAATTATAGTAATTTATTGCAAAAAAAAACAATAACCATTACAATGCAGTGGGAATTATGTTTATAAAGCGCAATACATGTACAGCTACTATTTTTCACATGTGGAAAGCAATCTTACACTAATTAATGTATTATTTTGTACACTCATTATACGCACACCCTAAACAATAGCGAATGCCATTAAAAAAATTACCTAGTAAAATAATTACGCAAATAAATACGAACCACATTTAAATACGACTTTCCAGAACAAAATCTAAGCAAAAGTGCAATTATAGGAATGTCACAGATTCATAAGTAGTCAGGCTTTTTCCATTATTTATCCGACATCTGGTAAACATATGATGAAAACGAAAACGACTACTACTTATCCATCGACTTAATGTATTTGCAGAGAGAGGCCGCTCGTTAAATAACATGCCAATTATGTGTGCCCTAATTGCCCGACCCCGTTTTAAATATTACACTCATTAGGTATTTTTGTTCACATTGAGTAAGGCGATGAAGCCTAGCTTCCAAAGAAAGATGAAATATTGTCACCAAAACCCCTACAAAATGCGTAGGCTAAAGAAATAAAATAACATTAAAAATATGGGAAAATTAAAAACAAGAGAAACGCAACACAACATGTACCTAAAATATCCGACTAACTTAAAGTATTTAATCAAAATCAAATAGATGCTGCTCAAATTCTAAGAGAAAAATGCACTTTTGGAATAAATCTGTAGAAAATACAGCTATTTATTTCTTGAGGTGTGTGAAACGTTCATCTTATTTAGCGTGATTCGTGAAGCACCCCATTCACGCGACTTGTGAATGCAATTGTTTATTCTCCGCCCTTCGTGAAACGAAGACATTATACCCGGTGATACGTGATTTTCAGGATGTTTTTAAAATGCCTACTATCAGTGAGATAATAATACTCTGTAATTTGTGTATTGATGATTTAGCTTCCCGCGTATTGTGGTCATTCCCCTCCCCAATTGGACTTTCAAGACTGGGCCTGAATTAAAACATATCAGTTTACTTTGGATCACAGCAAAATAATATACAAATATATGTTCAAATATAAGAAGTACTGATCTCATTGTAATAACAATATATATAAAAACAGTAAGTAAAAATCAATCACCGTAAAGGAGATATATTAACATTTTTCATGTAGAATACCGTGATATTATCTAATCTACAACTGTGGACTCAAATCGTCCTTGCGTGTAAATTATTTTCCACACATCAAATCGCCCTTGCGTGTAAATTATTTTCCACACATCAATTTGAGCACTTCTTTAGCCTGGCAGACCCCCGCGTCATATATTTCTGCCGTTGCCCTTTCAACACCTTCCCCTTGTTCAGTGCTGCTATCGCCCTTTCCTTTTTTCCAGTGCGGTGTCCTTCTTAACGGTTTCTGTGAAGATATAACGAAATGATATCAAAATATAATGTGTAATAACGTATTAAACATAATTGGGTAAAGGGAACAGCATGTCTGACTAAAAAAAAAATTCAGAGAAAGTATCAGGATTGAGAATTACAAGAATGCATGTACCACTACAACAGACATAGAGAATGTAATAAAATCAAAGACTTGGTAATTTATCAACACACATTGAGAATCAATTATCAAAAATGAAAATAAATTAATATTATGAAAATAACAAAAGGAATGAAACCACTTACTGTCTTCATCCTCTCGTTTTTCCTGTACATTTACTTTGTACTCTGTCTCTGTGGCTATCTTCACACCACATCACATCCTCCCCTTTGCAGTTGCGATTTAATATTCGTTGTTTGGTGGTGGTCGGCTCATGTCTTAGTTAAACTCTTATCAAAATAACACGATGCAGGACTGGGCCCCTGGGGACGTGCGTTTTGACAGCGCCACTGATTAAAAGCTTTGAGATTGCTTTTGGGACGTTAGAGTTTAGATTGAAGTATAAAAGTCCCTTAGATGCGTTATAACGTGTTTGTGAAGAGATGGCAACGGTGATAGAAAGTGTCCGTCTTATAATTCTGATTCGAATTATGTAAGATAACTATTTATTGCCGTATTCAATATTATCGGCTGTTGTTTCACTTCGGTATGATGTGAGAGAGGTGTCTCGCCTCTGTATGTGTTTGACCTGAAGGGCCGACTGTACGAGATACGCACAATGCGGCGGGGAAACGAAAGAAGGGGGGTTGGACTGGTTGCAGAAAGCGCTTTTCGGTCAACAAGTGACCTTCATCAGCTGCAGAGTCCTGAAAAAAGGGGGGACTGTGCTTAAACAAAGAAGTGAGAAACCAAAACACTTGGTTTAAGCCTTCATCACTGCGGTTGGAGAGAGGTTACATAAAAGGTTAAATAGCTTATTGGCCACCATGCTGCTTGTTACACTGACCTCAGCTTATGAGTCATCTCTCGACCATCGTGTTTCAGTGGTGCTGCAAGTGAAAACTGTGTTAATTACTGGTAGCAATCCCCATACAAAAACAACCGAATCCGGCTGTCATCTAAAGCAGGCCTGTCCTTCTCTGTCAAAGCCCAGAACTTATAAACACAATAGCCGTTTTTAACTTGCGGCGATTTACTTATTTTCATGTGAAAAAATAATTTAGATGAAGAAATTAGTATATTGCGATATGATACATTTTCATTAGCAGAAACCGTGTAAAAGTGACACACGATGCACGTTTAATGTGCAGTGATTCTTCACTTACGTGGTTTAACCACCCCCCTTCTCTTCTTCACCCACTGTGAGCAAGATATCATCATCAATAGAAAAGTACTCCTGTTATATACGTAATACGGCACATCATATTGATGATGTTTGCTATATATCAACATATTTATCGCTGCTTAACCTTGCAAAATAACAATGGTCTTATATACTAATAGTTATTCAGTTTTCAAGCAAGGTTTTTATGACAGCTAGTTTAGAACTAATGGTTTACTAATGGTTCTAGACATGGTCTATCGAGCGAAATTTTATCGCGGGATGTACTACGATCAGTTGTGGGGCAATACTTATTCATCAAATAAAAAAAAATGTTTCAATTCATCTCCAGTCAACATTATTAAAGTATTTTTGTTTTCGTCTTTTAGCTGGATGAAATATTGAAGGTGACCGTGACGTACATTGTTGTTAGTCGGGCTTTGTTAAAACTTCCCCGGCCACCAGCGCATAGAGTGACACATCTTTATCCTTTTTTGTTTGTTTTCCGCTCAGTGTTGATTAAATATTAGAACGTTTAACGGTCACCCGCTGGTTCTTCCAACTCCCTTATTAATTAAAGATTGGTTGCACCATTGCACACGCTGATTCAATGCATAAGCACTACATCTTGTCCGTCAGTGTAATAAACTTAAGATCTATTTAAACTGCCGCAGTCTAAATCGCGATCGCCAAAGGAATCTTTATTAATACACCTTATTAATTGAAAAAATAAAAATTAAAAATACACTGACTGTGTATCATGATTTCAGTGAAATGATTTTTACTCCGGAGACACCTTAAAACGTATCCTATAAAATCCAGATTGTAAGCGCAAGTGTGATTAACAATTTCTATAGTACAAGCGACAAGTTAAATGCTAGTCAGTTATGTGTCCGCTAATGACTTGCATTGCTGCAACCAGAGTTGCATTATTCAAGGCCGCGGCCAAACTTTTAACAATCAAACAGCATGGCCTTTGACCAAGTCTTATTCATTATAATTCATTGCAATTTTATGGAAATAATGATCATGCTTTAAATATAGACTTTGATATCGCTTCCAAGTAATCTGTATTTAAATAAAATGGTTTTTGAGACGACTGTGAATTGGACTGGACTTGATAGATCAAATACAACTTTTAGGGATAAATCAGAAAAGAGAAATGATGAATAACAAAATATGATAAGCCCTCGGGGGAAGCTTCCTCAGGAGAGATGTTCTTATGATCGGGATGATCACGCCTTTCGACAGTATATACATGTAGCGCACCTAAGATAATAAAATGAAATTTTCAAAGGAATTAACAATATAAATCTTTCAGTTCCATTGAAATCTCATGTTCTTAAATGTCAGTCACAATCCAATAACGACCGTCACATACTCGTAATACCAAGGCAGGACCCCTACGGAAAAACGTTGTTCAGTCGCGAAGAAAGACGAACGAGATTACGCCTGTTGAAAGGCCGTGTAAAAGAGAAAGGGGTACTCCTGCGCGGAAAAACGTCATTCAGTCGCGCGTTGTAAAGGCCAGCTTGCACTGTTCCGACGTCATTCCGCGGAGGCTGAAAAATCGGAAAGATTTGTTTTTGTGCTGTGCATTGGACTTCACTTTTTGTGGACTATCAGTTAGTTGAAGTGCATGCTGATTATGAAGTCCACAGTTCTCTTCTTACCGATTTTGACATTGTAAGAGATGTACTAGAATCTGTCATTAAGAAATCAACATTGCTGTGTGATCTGTTTCACCAAGTGGTCACTGCCTACATGATGGTAGCAAACAATGCATACCGTAAAGAGATTATTCAGGAATTAGGAAAGAAAAAAACTCTCCAACTTCGTCATGCTATCTTCCAGAAGAAGAAGGAAGCAGCACAGAAGGCCAAAAAAACTGAAGTCACAATGGAAGACATGCGTAGCGACATTTCCAAAGGTAAAGTTCACACACTTTCTCGACTTAAGGCACTGCTGGTGCTGGATCCTGACCTTTTTGCTACTAATCGCTGGAAACGGAAAGAACTGTTGACATTGGCTAAAGCTTGTGGGCTTCTGTACACTAATAGAATGACTGTCAGGCAGTTACAAGAACTGTTGAGCAAGGAAATTCCTTCATTGGTGGAGGTGCCTTATGAGGAGCTGATGGATGATGACTATGAACCTCCCTCCAAGAAAGCTAAATCTGCAACTGGCAAAGGGAAGGGAAAGGGCAAAGGGAAAGGCAAAAGCTCTTCTGTACCAGTTGTGGCTGAAGCGTCAGGTAGCAACATACAATCTGAACAGGAAGAGGATTTTTGCTATAAGTGCAGAAGTGACCATGAGGGGACTTGGGTGCAATGCGACTCATGTGACAAATGGTTTCATTCTAAATGTGCCAAACTGACAGAACAAACTTACCAACAACTTATAGACAATGAAGCCAAATGGTTTTGTGATGCCTGTGAGGATACCAGTTCATAGTTCAATGAATTTGAAAACAAATCAAGTGAACATCCATTTACAGAAGTCTAGGCCTTTTTGCACGGAATGGCTGTTTCACATGCATCTTATATGGAAGTGCAGAGTAGCCAGCTTTTGAACAAGACTGGACGTTACACTTTTTTGACTGAGCCCCCTGATTAATAATGATGGTATTCACAGCCTTGCAGTACTGCAAATAGGTCGGATTGGCATTGGCCCCATTGCACATAGCCCTTTGTGAAGAAAAGAAATTTTCTACCAGGTCAGAGTTCAATCGGGCTGGAACAACATAAGTGGAAGGGAATCTCAGCAATTTGTTGTCAACATAAGAAATAAATCCTAAAATAGATGATGACAAATCATCCCTAGTTTGATGGGAGAAGAGGTGCTTCTGGTCGTTTGTATTTGTCACCCATTTCTCGAACCAATCCCATACAGATCTTAATGTGGCCAGACGTTCATCCCCTCTGTCCTTTATTGGTCTGAGGTCATGTATGATTGAGATAAATTTACTCGTCTGTTCAAGTAAAGCAATTGTGCCTCTTAAATCTGTTGGGACAACCTTTGAGTATGCCTGAAAATATAAAAACAGCTCTGCTACAGTTAGTCATCATTGTATGAATACTTATTTCAACAGCCCAGAAAGTCCAGGCACTAAAACATATTTTTAGTTGCAGGTTTAGAAATTTTATTGTTTATTGATAGATATACACCCTTAAACAAGTTTATGAATGGAATTAAATCTGAGACTTATTATGTTATTTAGATAGGTAAATGATATTTAAATTTAACTATATTTAGTTACTTTTAAGAAAAGTTGAGTCTTATACATGTACCTGCATCAAGTGCAACATGTCATCATTCAAAACTTCAGCTGCTAGTTTGTTCCGCATCTTCGCTGCTTGGTCAGGATAAATATGTTCCTGTGTCAATCTGTGATGAATGCGCATAGAGTTTACTTGTAAATCCCACTCATATGCTTTTACAAAATGGTCCCACAGGATGGGGTGGCCATTATGTAACAATAGTTTACCTCCTTTACCAGCGGTACTTTTGCTCTTCAGCAAATTATTACGTATTTTCTTCACACTGTGCTAAAATGTAAAGGGAAAATATTACAACAATTGTAATATGTTTGTAATGATAAATGTACAAATTTGCAGAGATGTTGAAGAAATGTAAATAGAAAAACATTGATTCACAGTAAAATACAATCACATAATGCAACTACAGATGAGAAGTTATCATGTTCTCAAATTTCATTAAGTGGCAGGACATTTCCTATAGAAAAAAAAAGCTAGGTTTAATTTGAAATTAGCTTCAGGATAGACAATGAGTAAAAATTTAGCACATGCAAAAGATGATTTGATTTGATGATCTGATTTGATAAAATACCTTGCTGTCCATGATGAAAACCACTTCGTGATTACCATCATAAGGGTCTTTAGCTCTATATTGCCTTTCCTTTGCACTTTTCCCATCAAAATGCATCTCCAGAAAAGACCTGTTGTTAGCAGCTCCATCAAAGCATGCATAATCTACCTGTTAATGAAAACTGTATACTACCAATCTTTAACACTATAGCTTCACAGATTTACTCTGTGGAAATCTTCAATCTCAAACACTTCAATGTACAAAAAATTGAAAACTGCCTGCTGTCCTTTTCATTTTTACAATTTTCTACAATTTCAAAGCAAAACTTGAATAATGACAGAAAATGTGAACCTACTATAAAGTCCCAGCAATACAAATGTGACACTGCCCTCCAAAATACAGTGTAAAGTTCTGGGGCTGTAGCAGCATTTATTGTTGAGAAATGTGCAATAGGGAATTTGAAACCAGTGTCCCCCAGAAAAATCATCTGGAGGGCATGGTCTGCCAGCTTGATTTCTTTTTTTTTCTAAAAGTAAAAAAAAAAAGTTAAAAAAAAATGAAGTTCATTTCTTTTTCCATTAGTTATACCTAAGCATCAAATTTAATTTAATTTTAATAATAGGGGCCATGAAACACCTTATTCTTGATACTACTAAGAAATTAAGGCATGTTCATTGTCAGCTTAACTTTAATCTGTTTTGTTAATTACAGTTAAATCAAGTTGGAATAATTAAAATGATAAGAACTATAAAAGATTTAAAATATATATTTTTAATGGAATATTAAATATTAGTTCATGATTTAATCAGCATGAACTGTTTCTGCAAAGTTACCATAGGCATATGCATACCATGAATCAGTTTCTGCATGTAATCACTTTCATTACTGATGGAAACAAATCCAACCGATGTATGCACATCATTCTCCCTGTTCATCTGCAAGTCCTCCTGTAAGAAATAATACAAACATGTGCAATATAATATGTAAGAAAAAAACTGTTGGGGTGCAATAAGGAGATTTTTGTACCAGCAACATACATAAAATAAAAATTCACCAGTCAATGATAACCATGCTGGCATAACAGTAACATAGCTTGATTATAAGTATGTTTGCTTGCATGCATAGTGCAAGTAGTACCTGTATTGACATTTCGTCAAATATTATGCCTCCTCTGCGTCCATGACTTGGCACATTCAAGCGCTGTGCTTCAAGGTGTAGCCATCTAAATTGAGCATCTTGAAACCCAGAAGTCTGAGGTATACTGTTTTTGTACATTTGTAATAATCTTGTGGATGGAAGGATGAGAAACCCACTATCCTTGAGAGTGTCATATGCTTTTGGACTTCTCGCCCATAGGGACAAACAGAGGCGTATTATTCTGAAATATGACACACATAATAAGTATTTTGTTATAATACACTGATGTGTTTTATTATGAAGTTGTTGTGTAATTCTAAATATCATATAAGTTTTAAAATAAATGAGGATGATGATATTGACATTGTTTGCAACAGAAAAAAAGTTTTAATTGAAATATTGCATTATTGACTGAAAGCTAATCATATCACTGTGTACAACAATAATATTAATCGGCACCTATTTTTTCTCTCTCATAAAAATAAATGCTAAAAGTGTATTTAATTGTTTAAACATAAAATGCACTCACCGGTCTGGAATCTGTTTCTCCAGTTGCTTCATGTTAAATGGAAACAAAGTTAGAATGAACTGAACAACAAATAATAAAAATTAGTTTATAAAAAATTCAGGTTAAACAATAAAACAACATGCAAAAAGTAATAAACATCCACAAAATTTGCACATGCATATTTTCAAATTAAAATTTTTGAAGGCACAATGACGGGGTTATGTTTTTTTTTTTTTTCTTTTTCACTCATTAAAATTTTAGAGGATATGCTGAGTTAGAACTGCTCCAGTGATAATGTAAATACATTTCAGGCCGTCATAACTACCTTACAGATGATCATTATATATTTTGATTTTATGATTGGATAGTCATCAGATCAGACTTCTGAGGTCAAAGCTGAAGCTTTAAAGAATTTCTTTACAAATGACATACTTGTAACATTAACATATGTATGGTTTTGCCAATCCCCAATGTTGAAGTCTGATGTGATTCAAAGTAACAAGAAGTTCAGAAAAATTATAATGCAGTTAGACTGAGTTACCTAGGGTCCCAACCATGGGCGTAACCAGGCATACGCACGGATGCACTGTGCGTACAATTTTTTGGCCAACCATGATATTATTTTATATAAATTTAGTGTATTTTTCGCGGAATATAAAAGAAAATCCTCTGCTTATTAAAGTCACCTGTATGTACAAATCCTCTGTATCAATTGTATAGGCACCCCCCCCCCCCCCCCTGAGGTGCCTATACAATTGAGGTAAACAATGCCTGTAACCTTAACAAGTCCTATCTTAATTGTCCATCTAACTGAAACTTCCTTTACCTGAGTGTTATTTTCAAAGAGCAGCTCCCACAACCCTGGGGTCACTAGATAAAATCTGGACACCAGGTTTAAGAAGGAGCTAGAGAAACAAAGGAAAAATTTTTCCTGCAAAGCTTCAAAGGATTTTGACCCAGCTTACCCCTCCAAACTAACAGGGTGACATGGGCAATTTTTACAAACAAATAATTAAACTTAGATGTATCAGAGCTCTGTCGTGTCGTACAATTGGTTGTTTTTGGGAGCCATGCATCCACATGTAAGGTGAATGAAACCGTATGTTAGTTCAACTCAGAGGTGGATCCAGGATTATTGGAAGGGGGTTCCACATATGCGAAGCTAGCCTCCTTTTTTAAAAATAAATATACCGTTCTGGGTAATAAGAATATTGAAACTTTTTTAATTGCGAGAATATTTCTGACTAAATGATGATTTTATTATTAATGGAAATTAAGCTGCGATGTGTGGCACATATGCTGTAATTACGCTGTCCTTCATCTCTTGCGTTAGTCTACATTTTGCTGGGAATTTTACAAATCTGTGCGTACAATTTTTAAAGGTCTGGTTACGCCCCTGCCAACGATGTCGTCTCTTGTCAGTCTCACCAACATTAGCTACCTGAGAGTTAATTAACTCACAGAAATTCTCGTTGTCTGCAAGAGTGGGGTGGAGTTCTTTGATTATAGCTTGAAGGTCTCTGTCGTCAGCTTCACTGACCTCTATTGTTTGGTCTATATGATTCTTGAGGCTACGACGTATGCACCGCAAACAGCTGGTACACTTGCTTGAACTGGCATTGAATGGGGATACACCCCAACACATTTCAGATCTCTCTTTTTCGCTGCTCGTGCAGAGAATCAAACTGTTAATACTGTTTATGAAAGTATGCACCTTATGTGCAGCCAAGCTGTTCAATGGCTCAACACCAACTTTCTCAAGGGGCACATCATGGCTCAGGTGAGAGAATCTGAGCTTTCCTGTCCCACTGCTATTTATGGTCAACTTCTTCACCACCCGGGTGCCCCCCGACATGGATTCTGTATTTTTCATTGAAACAACCTGGTATTGGTCAGACATGTAGATAGTGAAACCTGCTTCTGTAAGGGCATGAGTTATGCCACTTGGAAAGTCCAGAATTTTATTACTTTTTTCAGAATCAGGAATTTTTTCCAGCCCTCGGATGCTACTGTATTTCGTACCATTTTCAGTGAGTCTGACCCACTTTGGCAGTCCTAATGCTCTATTTAAAATTTTACCAAATGTTAAATAACCTACAGCATTTGCTCCATGTTGGTTAGCAGCTTGCTCATAAGATTTATAAATACTACACAACTTCATGGGCTGCATAAGTGGTCTATGGCGGTAGTTAGCTATAATCCTACAAGAAAAAATGTATATATTTTAACCATAAGCAATTATAATTATCAGTGTTAATTATTTTTTCATTATCATTATTTTACATTTTAAAAGTGAATAAAGATGCAATTTTAGAGTTAAACAACTGATACCACTATATATAGCTGCATATATTTATTTAATCATGAAGCATATGTAATATTAAATCCTTAGTTACTAATAATGAATATTCCAAGAATAAAAATTGATATATTTTTTATCATTGACAATTGTTTCTTTATTCATTTATTTTATTTTAATTAATTTTTTTTTTTTTGGGGGGGGGTCTAATGCCAGTGTGCTTTAATTTCGTAAATTTTACTTTCAATACCTCTTACATTTTCTTGAAGTGAGATAGAGATCAGATGATAGATGACATTTTTTTTAAAATCATAGAAGGATAACGTTCAAAATTTGAATTTTCTTATTAGATTACCGATATTATTATCAATATCAGCAGTGTTATAAAAACCCATGTTATTTAAAACCATTATACCGATGAGACAAAACCATCGTCTGTATATTTTATTTACTTACCATGATGTAGGAGGAAGTACGCTCAATTCTTCTGATCCCTTTTCTGACACTGCGGACATCTTGACGCGTACCGTTGTCAAGCAGATTTAAACATGACCTCTGTTGACCTCAACGTCAATCAAAAAATACGCGTCCAATGGCATGGCTTATTTTTCGTAAGCCCGGTGTATGGTGACCTCTGCGGTTACGTCACTTCCTGATTTGGATACTGTAGAGGACCTGGCCAACGACACCCCGAGAATTTGTTTTTTACGGTTTGATTGTGCGTATGCCATGCACGGAATTTACAAACGAGCGACGGGATGATGTAGCCTGCAGTATTAGTGGTAAGCGTGCCAAGTTTTAGGCCGCTCCGATGCCCGGCAGTATTTTATTTCGATTATTATGTTGGAACTGGATTTTTCTTGTTTCAGAAGCTTACTATATTTTATTGTCTCTATGGAGGTATATGGGGACTTTACGACATTCGGTTTGAAGGCTTTAACCACTTGTTATAGTTTATGTTTGCATTGTATTGGATTAATGTGGCAGTCCAAGGTTGTTGTAGGTGGTTTTCAAGTTTATGCACCCGGTTTTAATATCATTTAGCGATTTTACGACAATCGTTTACTATCCAATCAAGGTGACAGC